GTGTGGAGCGGGGGCGGGGATGAACGCCATCGAGACAGCCTCACTGAGCGGGTCGGAACCTGGCGAGGACTTCAAAGAGCAGCTTCGACACCACGCTGCTCCGGGCTTCCCCCGCGTGCCCTCCTACTCCAGGACAGGTGAGTGTGTGCCAGGCGGCCAGGTGACAGTCTCCTGGCACCTTTGCGACGGGTAGAGAGGTGTGTGACAGTAAACGAGTATCTGGTAGAGAGACACGTGGTTGACAGACAAGTGAATGAGTAAATAATTTTATTTATAATGATAATGGACGTTTCGAGGCGTGAAGGGCAATTTCAATTCCAATGGGGTAAAATCATGGGGATAAATGGGATAAAACCATTATGCATTATCCAGCAGGTGTTGACGGGGCTGGTGTATTATCCAGCAGGTGTTGACGGGGCTGGTGTATTATCCAGCAGGTGTTGACGGGGCTGGTGTATTATCCAGCAGGTGTTGACGGGGCTGGTGTATTATCCAGCAGGTGTTGACGGGGCTGGTGTATTATCCAGCAGGTGTTGACGGGGCTGGTGTATTATATTAGACGGTGGCTCCAACAAGCCACCTTGTTAAATACAAGTTGTAATAACTTATAATAGTAACAAGTTGTAATAATACAACTAGAAGTGCTCTACAAATCAAGGGACCCAGAATGAGGAATGACTTCCCAAATCATGTCAAAGGCTGTGCCTCTCTCAACCAGTTTAAGAGTAAAACTAAGTACTACCTAATTAACTCCCTGTAACCTACCTTACCCCCTAAATGTTAACCCATGTCTTGTTTTTTTTTTTTTTTTTTTTTTTTTTAATACTGTTTGTTATCCAACTTGTACTATTGATGATTTCTGCCATGTTCCCCCCCCCCGTTTTTTTTTTATTTATTCCTCTTTTTTCAACACAATTTATACCTAATCCCAATTACTATTAAGTTTTAGCCTAATTCCCCCGCCCCCCCCCCTTACGCCTTGCCCGGAACGCTATGCGTATTAGTAGCTTTAGGTATTGTATGTACTAGCTCTATCTATATGTAAATCCAACATTATGTTTGCAAATCATCTATGTATGTACTTTTCATGAATAAAATAATTGAATTTAAATTTGATAAAATAAATGTGTATTTACTATTTGGATCTGCAGAATCGGGCTCTTAGCTTTTGGACTCCGCCTTTCTAACCAATTTATTTTTCCTCTATTATGTCTACTACATATATTTCTCTTACACACGTGTGCGCGCGCGCGCGCACACACACACACACACACACACACACACACACACACACACACACACACACACACACACACACACACACACACACACACACACATCCCCAGGAAGCAGCCCGTAAGCCTAGGCCTCACCCTGAACTCTTCCAAGTGCGAAATAACCTCCACCAACCAGCGCATAATAGAGCAAATAAAGGATGTTTTAGACTCCTAGTTCAACCTTGACGACGAGCGGACGTCAGGACACCGCCTGGGAGCCGCCTGATCATGTTCTGTTTTCACGTTTTGGCTTTGCTACTGCCGTTTGGCATCCTTATTCAACGGTCCGGTTGTACGACGCCTGGCGCACACATCACCTTGGGTCACGGGATTGTTGATAGATTTTTTTTTTTTACGTGTTCCGGCTGGTTCTCCCGGCGGAGTGACGGTGTTCGGGGGCCGGCTTGGCCGACAGGTGCCGGGGGTTGGCGGGTCTTGAGGTATGCCCTCAGCCGTGGTGGGTGGCCGGCTTCTGCTGTCGGGGGAACACTGGTAAACTTTTGCGTTTTAGTTGGGGGCCGAGTTTTTGGTTTGGCTACCCTGTGTTCTCTGTGTGGGGCGGGGTCAGTGCTTGTCACCTGAGGGACTCCTGGGGTTCCTCAATCATCTGCCTGTCTGCGTTTCTTTGCCGCATGGCATATTAGTTTCCAGTGATTGGCGTCACTTGTTTCGCGATTTGGCTTGGCGTTTCACCTTTCCAGACTTCGCGATTTGGCTTGGCGTTTCACCTTTCCAGACTTCGCGATTTGGCTTGGCGTTTCACCTTTCCAGACTTCGCGATTCACCCTTACCGGGTACACCGGGGCGCATCCGATCCCACGATCGTCGTCGCCCTTAAATCAACTACAACAAACATAAGGATATTTTATATTTTGCCTGATAACCTGCATATAACCAACCCTGAGGACAGTACACTTCTAGGAGCTCCTCTTGGAGGGAAGCCCATCGACGAGGTCCTAGGTAAGAAGATTGCCGACCTGAAGAGGATGGATGAGAGGATTGAGGACATTGATGCCCACGATGAACTTTACCTCATCAGCAGATGCTTGTCCCTCCCCAGGCTGACCCACTTTCTTATATGTTCGCCATCTTTCAGTAATATTAAATTAGAAGGGTACGATAGACTGCTGAAATCAATGTTAGAAAAAGCCCTCTCAGCGACTCGCACTGGAAACAAGCCTCCCTGTCAGACTTAGGGGCGATTGAACGGTTATGATACATCTATCCAATGGGTCCCAGCGCATTGTGGTATTCTCCGTAATGAACTAGTAGATCAACTAGCCAAAGCATTGCACAACACGCCTCACATTACCGGTCATCCAATTCCCCATGTTGCACGTAAAGGAGCCTTAAAAAATACCATCACCCAAGATTTTGCGACGAAATGGAAAACGTCATGCTCACCTTTGTACTATGGGTCCATTAAAAAGAAATGGGAAACTTGGAAACATGTCAAATATAAAAACTGAAAATTGATATAACGATGACCAGATTAAGGCTGGGACACACCAAACTGGCAGCACACAGCTCTAAGTACAGAATAGACATCAACGAACTCTGCATCCACTGTCAGGTGCCTGAAACAATCGAACACTATCTCCTTCACTGCTTCCGACATTATAGTGCCAGAGTAAATTTCAAACAAGTACATAACTCACTTAAAATACCCTTTACCATCGAGCATATATTAGGAGGCGGTGACCACTCGTTACAAGAAAAATACCAAATAGTCAAAGCACTTGCTAAATATCTCCAGTCGACCAACAAATTGGGTCACATCTGACTCGCGCCACATTTATACCTGGCGCCACCAACAGCTAAACACAGAAAACAACTGCCTCGTCGCACCCCCAAGGATCAGCTGACGCCATAAACACAACACACCGCCCTACGGTGCGGCAAGTCTCCCTCTAACATACACCTGTTTTAGTCGCCGCTCCTCTATTGTGCACAACGCAACAAGGACTTTTGAATCTCTTATCATCCTCAACATAAACGCCTCTCCCAACATCTGTACTGGTGCAGTCATGGGAGGACAAATCCTTCATGCAAACTGCACCTACTATCAAGAAGAAGAAGACTTAGGGGCAATCGATCGGCATTCGCACAGCAACAAAAATTACTGTACCAGCGTTCCTGTCCTCATCAGTGGCATCTGACAGCCTGGTGAGGGAAATCCTACCTGATCCTTATGTCACCAGGGAGGGGTACACGATCCCAGCTTTACGGTCTGCACCACCAAATGGGTTCTTATCTTGAGGTTATCTTGAGATGATTTCGGGGCTTTAGTGTCCCCGCGGCCCGGTCCTCGACCAGGCCTCCACCAGGCCTCCACCCCCAGGAAGCAGCCCGTGACAGCTGACTAACACCCAGGTACCTATTTTACTGCTAGGTAACAGGGGCATAGGGTGAAAGAAACTTTGCCCATTGTTTCTCGCCGGTGCCTGGGATCGAACCCAGGACCACAGGATCACAAGTCCAGTGTGCTGTCCTCTCGGCCGACCGGCTCCCTACTGGGACTCTTTTTGCAGGACCAACACCCCAACCACCACCACCACCTGAAGCTCGCAAGCAGTCCAGCTGGGATCACCGCATTGTCGACCATAAAACTGCAACATACCTAGAAGCTGCAACATCACCTCATGACACTGCCCTGCTTAGGGCTGTAGCAGCTCCCCATGCAGGTGACTTCCTATTGGCAATCACAATGTCAGCAACCGGCACTCATCTCACACTGCAGGCCCTCCGAATTGCTGTGGCTCTCTGCCTTGCTGCCCCAATTCACACCGAATACAGGTATATTTGTGGCGAGGTAGTGGCCGATGGGTACGGAGGGCATCCTTCACCAGGTTGTCAGATGCCACTGAAGAGGACAGGAATGCTGGTACAGCAATTTGTGTTGCTATGCTAACGCCAAGGGCCCCAAGTCTGACAGGAAGTAAGGCCTGTTTCCACTGTGAGTCGCTGAGAGAAAGGTTGAGGGCTTTTTCAAACGTTGATTTCGGCAAGTTGTCATACTCCTCTAATTTAATATTATTGAAAGATTGCGAACATCTAAGAAAGCAAGTCAGCCTGGGGGAGGGACAAGCATTTGGTGATGAGGTAAAGGGCATCATGAGCATCAATTTCTTTAATCCTCTCATCCATCCTCTTCAGGTCGGCAATCTTCTTACCCAGGACCTCGTCGATGGCCTTCCCTCCAAGAAGAGCTCCTAGGAGTGTGCTGTCCTCAGAGTTGGTTAAATGGATATCCAGCAAAATGCCCTTTATTCGCTCTATAATGTACTAGTTGGAGATTATTCACACTTGGAGGAGTTCAGGGTGAGGCCTAGGCTTGCTCCTTGCTCCTTTTTATATACTGTACTGCATAAATAAATATATATACAGTATATATATATATATATATATATATACATATATATATATATACATATATATATATATACATATATATATATATATATATATATAATATACATATATACATATACATATATATATATATATATATATATATATATATATATATATATATATATATATATATATATATATATATATATATATATATATATATATATATATATATATATATATATATATATATATATATATATATATATATATATATATATATATATATATATATATATATATATATATATATATATATATATATATATATATATATATATATATATATATATATATATATATATATATATATATATATATATATATATATATATATATATATATATATATATATATATATATATATATATATATATATATATATATATATATATATATATATATATATATATATATATATATATATATATATATATATATATATATATATATATATATATATATATATATATATATATATATATATATATATATATATATATATATATATATATATATATATATATATATATATATATATATATATATATATATATATATATATATATATATATATATATATATATATATATATATATATATATATATATATATATATATATATATATATATATATATATATATATATATATATATATATATATATATATATATATATATATATATATATATATATATATATATATATATATATATATATATATATATATATATATATATATATATATATATATATATATACATATATATATATATATATACATATATATATATATATATATATATGTCGTACCTAGTAGCCAGAACTCACTTTTCAGCCTACAATGCAAGGTCCGATTTGCCTAATAAGCCAAGTTTTCATGAATTAATATATTTAATCTAATTTTTTTCTTATGAAATGATAGAGCAACCCATTTCATTATGTAAGAGGTCAATTTTTTTTTATTGGAGTAAAAATTAACGTAGATATATGACCGAACCTAACCAACCCTACCTAACCTAACCTAACCTATCTTTATAGGTTAGGTTAGGTTAGGTAGCCGAAAATGTTAGGTTAGGTTAGGTAGGTTAGGTAGCCGAAAAACAAATAATTCATGAAAACTTGGCTTATTAGGCAAATTGGGCCTTCTATAGTAGGCTGAGAAGTGCGTTCTGGCTACTAGGTACGACATATATATATATATATATATATATATATATATATATATATATATATATATATATATATATATATATATATATATATATATATATATATATATATATATATATATATATACATATATATGTATATATATATATATATACATATATATATGTATATATATATATATATATATATATATATATATATATATATATATATATATATATATATATATATATATATATATATATATATATATATATATATATATAAATATAAAATGTGTGTGTGTGTGTGTGATTTAAGCCGATACATTAAATTATACAGTTTATAAATCATCAAAATTCAGATTTGAAATATGTTTACAGGAGTGTTATCAGCATCATCATCAACAGCATCAATGCCCATGTGCCGCATATGCCACCACCCACAAGGTGACGGCCTCGACACACTCATCTCGCCCTGCAGATGTGCCGGCACAATGCAGTTCATCCACCAGGGCTGCCTTAACGTATGTAATGATCACACTTTACCTCTACTTTGTCATGATAAACGTCACACCTTATACAGGGCTTAGTGTGAGAGATAAAACGTTCATTTTGATGCAGGAAAATGGAGTATCCCATACAGAAATTAAAGGGTCCTGGTAGTAATTCTCGACTCGCAGTCGAGAATTCCGGGTTTGAATCCCGGGCGAAACAGACTGGGTTGGGCACATTTTCTATCACCTAATGCACCTATTCACCTAGCAGTAAGTAGGTACTCAGTAGTAAGTCAGCTTGTTGTGGGGTTGCATCCTGGGTGGGGTTGGTAATTATACCTTGGGGGGGGGGGGGGACCTCAATATAAGCCTAATGTGCAATAATACACTGGCTTCCTGTCCCCCAACACAATGAATTACAGTATTATATATTATTATTAAATTACTAAATGTCAAAAATTAGTAGAGTGTACATACTGTATTATGTTTACCTGAGGGCCACCAACACTAGTGGCCTCGATGAGGACAGGAAGCCAGCTGCTTGTCGAAGATCACCCCCATTTGCCTTGATAATCTCTTACCAGTTTGATTTTGAAATTCAACAGTCTTTGCATTTACGGCTTTGGCGGGTAGCCAGTTCCATGGGTTTATAAGCCTGTCTGTGAAAAAGCATCTGTTCTCAGTCCTACAATGTTGCTCGTTGAGTTTGAAACCGTTGCTCCTTGCTTGTTACATTTGATCATGTGAAGAAATTTTTTGTATCAACATCTACTAAATTGTTCAGTACTGTATATTAAAAGTTTCAATGAGATCTGGCCTGGTTTGCAGTGTTGGTAGCTTTGTGGCCCTCAACCGTTCCTGATATGAGAGTTGACTTAGCTCTGGAATGATTTTGGTTGCCCGGTGTTGCACTTTCTCTAGAGCAGCCATGTCCTTCAGAAGATGGGATCGCCATGCTTGGATACAGTAATCCAAATGGGGTCGCACCAGAGATTTGTACATTTGAATCACCACCTTATTTTCCTTAAGTCAAAGGTATACTTGATTATTCCAAGGTTAGCCTTTTTGACTGCTGCTCCTACCTGTTGTGTAACATTCAGGGAGTGGTGGATTTTGACTCCAAGGTCCTTTTCTTCATCAATCTGCTGTAATGGAATGTTATTTATTTGGTAGTGGCAGCATGAGTTGCTGTGCCCCACATGAAAGTTCTTGCATTTGTCAGTATTAAAAAGCATTTGCCAGTCTTCTAACCATTTGTAGAGTTAATATAGATCTCTTTGTAGGGCTCCAATATCATTATTATTTCCCACTTTACCATAAATCTTTGTATCATCTACAACTTTGATGATGTGGTTTGTAATATTCTCATTTGTCATTGATGTAAATGACTCATTTAGTACGCCCCTTTGTTTTCTTTGTTTCAGTCATTGTTTTATCCATTCCAGTATTCTACCATTTATTCCATGAACCTGTAATTTCCTTGCCAGTCTTTCATGTGGTACCTTATCAACGACTTTAGCAAAATCCATGTATACTACATCCACCGGAAGGCTTTTGTCTGTGTAGCCGGTTATTGTTTCCAAAAACGTTAGCAGGTTTGTAAGGCAGGATCTGTTTTTAACAAACCCATGTTGTGTTGATTTCACAAGATTGTTCACTGAAAGATAGTGAGTGATTCCCTCCCATATGATTCGCTTCATTAGCTTGCATATGTAGCTCCATTAGATGTAGCTTGCAGTTGTGTGATGATCTTCCTTCTGTGTTCAAAATTTGCAATGATTATTTGTTCCATATTTGCTTCCAGCCTACCTAAGCTCACAACATTTGATATACAGTATGTACTTAAGTCTTCCTCATTGCCTATCAGTTTCTCTAACAGTGCCGTAATGAGTTCCTGGTCATTCTTGTCCTCTACTTTTGCAAGGTGTCTTATAATGAGGTTGTTTTTTTGACTATGTCTATCCATGGTTTCAGGATATGATAATACTTGTAAAGGGTTTTATGATAATAAAAAGACCTAGCCTATGGAACTCACTTCCTAATGAATTAAAAAGCTGCCCAACCTATGCCTTATTAAAAAGTAAAGCCAAAAATTACCTAATTTCATCCTCATAGTTTCCTACCTTGTGCTTCAAACTTGCACTGTATCTTGTGCTATCCACTCCACTTCCCCAATATTAGTGTTCAAGACATGCAACTTCACCATTGTAATCCCTGCCATCAACATTACTGTATATACATTACATACGTTAGATAAAACATCTAAATTATTGGGACCATCTCAAAGCTCTCAAAATGTACTCTCTTGAAAGGAGATGAGAAAGGTATCAAATTATATATATGTACATGGAAGATACTGGATGGTCAGGTCAGGTCCCAAATTTGCACAGTATAATAACCACATACTAGAGCAAAAGATATGGAAGGCAATATAGAATAGAACCAGTGAGGAGTAATGATGCCATTGGCACCATCAGAGAACACTATCTGAATATCAGAGGTCCACAGCTGTTCAACACTCTCTCAGCAATCATTATAAATATTGCCAGAACAAAGAAAGATGTATATTCAAGAGGAACTTAGACAAAGTTCTTGCAAGAGGTGTTGAACCAACTAGGCTGTAGTGGACATGTGGGTCTGCAGGCTGTTCCAGGCAACAGCCTGTTGGATTAAGTTATCACAAATTGAGCCTGGCCTCTAGCTGGGCTCAGGAAGTAGAAGAACTCCCAAGATCCTTTCCAGGTATATCATAGTTATTATGTTGAATGCAAATTTTGCTACACTGTACTTATTAATAATTATCTGTTAGATTAAGGACCTGCCCAAAAAGTGTGGCTGTGCAAGAATGTAAAAACACCAATGTTATGTACCCTCATAAATCCAATGTACCTTCTTGTATATATATAAAAAAAATAAGTTAAATATCATACTGATATCACACTCTTGCTGTTAGTGGGAAAATTACAAAGACCAGAACACACATTTGTCACAAAGTTTCTTTAGGACCTATTGTTTTTAATTATGTTTAATGTGCATGAAAAACAGCAGTGCTGACATAATATCTATGTAAATTAATTAAATATGAGAAGAAACGTGTTCAAAATGTGTTTTATGTTTCAGAAATGGTTAGAAGTCAAAAGGTGCAAAAAGGCTCCAGCTTGCGAGTTGTGTAACTACCAGTTTCACAGACACAAGAAGTTTAGAGTAAGCAAACAGTTTTTTAATTCTGGCAGATATTATTTGTATCCAATTTTAACTTGACAGGTGATGAATACTACTGCCATATTTCTGTATACCTAATTATATGGCCTGTTGTAGTATGACATACTGTACATGGTTTGACCAAACTTGATTGGCTCATCTTTCTTTTACAGTATATTCTTCAAGTATTTACTAATTTATTCTCTCCTATTGTTGTTAAAATGTTCAGTTCCTATGCAGGGTGAGATGCTGAGGCTAATTTCCTTACACCTAATGCGACTGTTCTCCTTGAAGTAAATAGACACCTGAAAGTTAGGCAGCTTTTAGGTTACATCCTTTGGAACGACTCACTGGTCGAGGGCAGTGGTTCCCAAACTTTTTTCTAAGGGAATAAACATTTGGAATAAACATTTTCTTGCACCACACCAAATTTTCCATTGATAAGAGATACAGTACATTAAAAACAAAAAACAACTTTTAGTGCTTCATTCATAACATAGAACACAACTGTTTTATAATATGATCACAGGACATCCAAAAAGTGTAAAACAATGCAGTTACATAAAAACATGATTGGTTCCTAAAATATACCTTGTTACCTCGTGTGGCAGAGCCCACACGAGGTATCGGGATTCTCGATCTTGTACTAACATCAGAAGAGGGCATGATAGATCAAATTCAGGTAAGGGAAACATTTTGTGTGATCACCATATTATAAGATGGATTACAAATATAGAAACCCACATAAAGGTCCATGATAAGGACTTTCTAGATTATTCTTCTCGGAGACTTTCAAGGAATGAGAGAGGAACTGCAGAACATCTCCTGGAGGAAGCTGATAAGTGAAATGGGGAAATTTTAAAAAGGTCATCATCACTGAACTCTTTCAAAAATGTGTGCCAAAAAAGGAGAAAGAAAAGAAAAGGGCAGCAAACTCTTTGAATTAATACTTTTAATCAGTGTTCACATTGGCCTGCGGGCCACTCCAAGCAACAGCCTGGTGGACCGAGCTCTCACAAGTCAAGCCTGGCCTCGGGCTGAGCTTGGGGAGTAGAAGAACTCCCAAAATCCCATCAAGCAGGTATCATTTTATCTATTAGCATCCCATTACCCCACACAAATGTTTGAAGGAGGTGAAGAGAACGAATTAAGGGATACTGTGTACTCATAACATGGGACATAATTGGGAAGAGCATAGACAAACTAAAAAGACTCAAAATCTAAAGCCCCAGTTGTGGATGGCATTCAATCTAATTTTGTCAAGGAACTGGCAGATGCTCTATGCCTATCACTGAAACTCCTTTTCAGAAAATCTCTGGACGAAGGGATAGTTTACCTATATTGGACGTATGCAATGTCCCCCCCCCCCCACTTCATTTTCAAAAAAGGCAGAAAGAGCTCGGCAGAAAATTACTTGCCGATCATCTTGACCTCACGTCTGCAGGTTCATGGAGATAGTCTTAAGGCAGGGAATCATTCACCATCTTAAAGTGAAATTCACCTAGTAAAATCAACACAACATAAGTTCTGCTTTACAAACCTGCTCACATTTTTTGAAATGGTAACTAGCTATTCAGACAAAGTCCTTCCAGTAGATGTAGTTTACATGGACTTTTCTAAAGCTTTTGATAAGGTACCACATGAAAGACTAGCAAAGAAATTACAGGCACATGGAATAAATGGTAGAATACTAGACTGAATAAAACAATAGTTAAAACAAAGAACTGGAGAAGGTAAGTAATTGATCTAGGAGCAGCTCAATAAGTTAAGAGACTTCATATCCCTGATAACTGAATTCTAAGGGCACCAAATGAAAAACAAATATCTTTTTATATTCCTTGAGTGCGACTCAACAAAAGCAGAAATGCTCTGCAAATAAAGGGTCTCAAACTATGGAATAACCTCCCTATTGACATTAAAGAATGCTCTTCTTTCAACCAATTTAAAAAAAAAAAAAAAAAAAAAAAAAAACTGAGTTACCTAATTGTATGTAACCAATCTTACTCACCTCTTCACATCCATCTGTCAACCTGTGTTTGCTGTTATGGCCATCATTAATAACTAAACCTGTACTACTGTCAATAACTGCCTTATTACAATTTAACATTTTGTTATATCATCTGTTTAATCTCTTCTTCAATTTAAAATTAATTACTATGTACTGTTGCAAAGTTTACAATTTTCAAATATCTTGTAATAATCCTCTCACATTGTTCAATTAAAATTCTCTCCATCAGCTCATAAATATTATATTACAGTATCTCATGTAATCATCTACATAGTTTCCTATCTAGTGCTTCAAACTCGCACTGTATCTTGTTCTACCCACTCCCTCAGTATATGTGCCTAAGCCATATAACTTCACCATTGTTATCACTTCTATCAGCTTAAGTCATGATTGTTGTGTTGAATGCAAATTCTACTAATTTAGAATTAATCCTCAAATTATGCTACAATGTACATGTTGACAATTCTCGAATTTTTACAGTAATGTACCTATTAATTTAATTCAAATTTTCTTACTGTATATATGTTAACATTCTTCAAATTTGTCTACAATACATATTTAAAATTAACTGTTACATACTTAAAATTAACTTACTTACATTACATACTTAAAATTAACTTACTTACATTACATACTTAAAATTAACTGTTAGATTAAGGACCTGCCAGAAATGTTTTGTGTGTTAGTGGCTCTGCAAGAATGTAAAAACATCAATCCTATGTACTCTCACAAACCCAATGTACCTTCTTGTATATATATAAATAAATCAATAAATCTCGGTGTAGTCCTTCACTCTATTGTTATTCTCATTTCGTATTCTAGAGCCTCAAATCATATTTTCCTTGTGCCGCCATAATATTGCAGATCCTCATCATGCTAATTCACGTATTTCTATCTAAACTGTAACATCTAACATCAAAATAATTTTCACGTTATTACCAACTTCCCTTACTACTAATTTTATATGCTGTAATTATTATCTAAATTTGAACATCAGTTTTCCCCAATATAATTACTAAAATATTATAAAAATATTTCAGTAGGAAAGAGAGAGTGTGGATGATTCAGATGGTTTTTGGGATAATATTCATGTTAAATATTGTAAGCACACGTATTTGAATTGTATCATTGACAACTACATATCTTCGATATTGTGCCTGTGACTTTTAAAGCTTCAAGTTGGTAAACATCATAGGGATAAAATTCAATAATAATTATAATACTATAATAATAATAATAATAATAATAATAATAATATTTTTTGTTTAATAGAAGTGTACATACATATAATACATGAACAGTGGAAAATAAATAGGTAACAGTGCAAATTTAGTAATTAATGTTCTCAATAACGGCAAACACAGGTTGACATGTAGATGAGAAGAGGTGAGTAAGTGCATTACATAGTTAATTAGGTAGTTCTTGTTTTTTAAACTGGTTGAGAGAATTACAGCTTTTAATTACATCAGGAAGGTCATTTCACAGTTTAGGACCCTTGGTTTACAGAGCATTTCTACTTTGCTTAAGTGGCACTCTTGGAATATAAAAAAAACCAGCATTGAATGTAATGAAATGACAAATGTCTGGGTGAGCTCAAGTGGCTCCCTGAAGCTCAAACCAGAACGACCATGGATGAGCCAGGGAAACCAGCCACCAGACTGGAAACAGGTGGAGAATCTACCGAAGGGGGGAGATCGAACCCATCACTCCTGAAATTGCCCACTCTCATACAACCTGATGAAGACGAGGAGAGGAGGCCAGCCCAGAAATGCCCAACCCACAGAAGGGAGGAGGATAGGCTGCATAAAAAGACTTAAAAAGCCCCATGAATCGTGGGACCAGGCGCTGGCAAACTCCGCCAGCCTCTCTCCCCACAGCCCCGCCAAGGGGTGAACCATGAAGAGGCTGCTATGAACTCCATAAACCAGACAGCTGAATGGAGTAAACACAGTGCAGCCCAAGTAAAGAGCCAGCTGAAGCAATCATCAGAGGGCCAGCCACTGGCTACAAAGGTGGCTTACCTTGTGGTGCTTCCGGGGCTTAGTGTCCCCGCGGCCCGGTCGTCGACCAGGCCTCCTGGTTGCTGGACTGGTCAACCAGGCTGTTGGATGTGGCTGCTCTCAGCCTGACGTACGAATCACAGCCTGGTTGATCAGGTATCCTTTGAAGGTGCTTATCCAATTCTCTCTTGAACACTGTGAGGTTGAGGCTTACCTCAACCAACAGCACTGATGCTTGAACTTTTGAGTACAATAGCTCCTTGTGGTAATATATTGTTGTACCTCTACCTCTCTGGTTAGGTCTGCAGTTGTAGATAGGTGAATAATTGGGAATGTTCTATAGTTGGGTTGTCATTATTCAACCAGGTCTTAGTAAGAACAAAAAAGAAAGTCATTGTTTAAAGCTTGTAGTAAGGCACCAACATCATCATGTTGTTTGCTTAGAGATCTTACAATAAATTTAATTATAGACATATTATAGTTACAGTATTTGATAATACTGCACATTATTGGCAAAGTTTGCTATATAATACAGCAAACTCAATTTTTGCTACCAATGTAGTTTTAAAAATTCTTACTTTATCTGTTAAACTACAGACCTGCCTGAAATATGTGTACTAGTGGTTTTGCAAGAATATTAGAACACCAATGTTATGTGCTCTCACAACCCAATGTAACTTCTTTCTAATAAGTAAATAAATACAAATAAACAAACACTTGCAGTTATCATTGTAGTTTACTTTATAGTATATAAAACTGAACTGCAATTCTAATCGTGACCTTAACTGCTTCCTAGAGACCTTTACCAGAGCCTATGGGCACCACACTAGAAACGAATATCTATTGTAAAATATATTAAAAAGTAAAACCTTATTTGCAAACAAACGTAAAGTTTTATTCAAAAGTAAACCCAAAAAGAACCTAATTTCATCCTCAGAGTTTCCTGCCTTGTGCTTCAAACTTACACTCTATCTTGTGCTACCCACTTCCCTAATATTAGTACTTAACACTTTCGCGCTCTCGGCGCTCAAAAAAAAAACAATACCCCAGATGCTTTCGGCACTTCGTGCGCCTACGAGGTTAAGACCGAAAAAGTGTACACTCTTTTGACTGTCCTGACAATAATTGAAGGCGCACGTATTTAAATTTGGTATCACTGTGTTCGCAATGAAATTGTCTATAAGAGCATACCTATAAAATGCCGCCCAAGCGTAACGAGTATCAACACCAAATAAAAAACTATGCAGATCACTCGCCGAGAGCGCCAAACAGCAACAAAATGTTTCCACTCTCTTAATGGTTGCGAAGCCTACAGTTATCCTACATCGCTAATTTTGGTATCATTGGAATCGCAATAAAATTCTCTACACGGACATATGCATATGAATGTTTAATATAGGTAATTGCCCACCCGCAAGAGTGTGTGAAGTGGAGAGTAGTTAGCTGCGAGCGCACTGGCGAAAACACGGGGGGTAATCATGCTTGGAAAGTTTATACATTTATACGTTTCCTGACCCTACTTTTCAATGTACGTATTTCTTTTTTATACCAATGTGTTCGCAATAAAATTTTCTATAAGATGAAATGTATAACATTTGTACAAAGCATGTGTAAGAGAAGCGCTAAATATAGAACCACGTCGCTCAGTATGCGTTCGCGGCAGAAACGAACGCATTGTTTTCGTTCGTTTGATGTTTGTCATGTTTATACTTGTTGAAACATTTTATAATTTGTATGACAGTGATCGCAGTAAAATTCCCTACACAGACATATACATAACACATACAAATATTTCCCACGTGTTGGATATATCAACGGCTAAAGGGAACCCACTGCCACACGACCGCCACACCCAGAGCCACACCCTCCACACCCCCAAACATACTTTGTGTTTTTTTTTTTTTACTCATAGAAGTTTGTGATATAATATTCATTCTGGTACCAAAAAATTCGCAAATAAATTCTCTACAAAACGTATATAATCTGAGAGTATCCCCATCCATTTCGGTTAAAAATGGAATTTATAGAAATATTTTTTCGATGGACGAGAAAAGTAGGCTGTTATGCGGAATCGTAAGAAAAAACGGCGACGAGTTATCTCTAATCTAAAGCGCGAAAGTGTTAAGACATACATCTTCACCTGTGTAATCATCTCTGTCAATTTATATTGCCGTTATATGTTGATATACAATTTTGCTATGATGTATCTTTTCATCTTAGCTGATCTGTTAGATTAAAGATCTGCCCAATATGCTGTACATGTTAGTGGCATTGCAAGGATGTAAAAATACAAATATTATATAATCTCACAAACCCATTGTACCTTCTTGTAAATAAATAAATAAATAAATAAATAAATTGTATTTTATATTCCAAGAGTATGACTTAACCACATCAGAAATTCCATGTAATTCAAGGATCCAAAATTGTGAAATGACCTCTCAAATGAGATTAGGACCGTACTTCTTACAACTAGTTTCAAAGAAAAACGTAGACATACCCAGTTAATATTATGCAACCAATTTTACTCACATTTCCTCATCCTACATTTTTCCATGATTTACCTGAGGGCCACTAACCCTAGTAGCTTCGACGAGGACAAGAAGCTAGCGGCTTGTCAAAGGTCCCCCCATTATGACTTAATGATCATTTTCAGGTATATTTTAAAACTTGACATAGTTTTGGCAGTTATGGCTTTGGCAGGTAGGCTGTTCCATAGGTTGATAACCGTGTGGGTGAAAAACCATATCCTGTTCTCAGTCCTACATTATGACTTGTTGAGTTTAAAACCATTGCTCCTTGTTTGTGTTTCATTTGATCTTCTGAAGAAAATGTCTGGATCAACGTTCTCTAACTTGTTCTGTATTTTAAAAGTTTCAATGAAATCTGCTGTGTCATGCCTGGTTTGCAGTAGTGTTAGTCCTGTGGCCTTCAAGCATTCCTGATATGAGAGATGACTTAGCTCTGGAGTGACTTTTGTTGCCCAGTCTGTAAGTTAAATCATATTATCATTATCTCAGTAATGGTATTTCTTAGGCATCCCAAGATATTCTCATGGCTTCATATTGTTCCTTCTCCAACTTGTTTAGTGTACCCTTACCAAAACAAGAAATGACAGGTAAAGCATAATCAATCGGAGATCTCACAGTATGCCATGTGATTACCATTGGAATGTGAAATGTAAAAGATGATTAATATTTGTGTACTATATTGGTTTGTGAGCCCCTTGAGGGACCTTATTTAGACAAGGGTAGAAATATCCTAAGTTATTCTATCCTTTTGAGATGTATTTCATTTTCTCAATAAACTTACTTGAACAGAACAGTGTTGCACCTTCTCCAGAACAGCTATGTCCTTCTGAAAATGAGGTCTTCATGCTTGGATAAAGTAATCCAAATGGGGGCACAACAGAGATTTATACAGTTGAACCTTTACCTTCTTTTCCTTGAAGTCAAAAGTACATTTGATTATCCCAAGAGTTTGATTAGCTTTTCTGACTGCTGCACCCACCTGTTGTGCAACTTTGAATGAGTGGTGGATTTTAACTCCAAGGTCCTTATCTTCCCAATCTGCTGTAATGTAATGCAATTAATTTAGTAGTCTTGGTGTGGCGTACATGTCAACTTGTGTCTCGCTGTTATTATATGGTGCTACATAGTCTTTCCCAGCTTGGTGTTTTCTTGGTGCCTTCACCTTAAAATTGTAAATCATATGGTAAATCTCTTGAACAATTCAAATATATAACTTTAATTGTTTAGTATTAATTATTACCCGCATTAAACTTACAAATAAATTATATAATTATATTTTACTATTCCCAAGGCACTGCATATTAGTTGCTTTATGTAACTTGCATTGTGTACCTGTCACTACAGTGTATCATGTTCCAGTGTATGTATTTTATATAAATAAAACTGATTAATATTATTATTATTATTATTATTATTAAAACACTGCAGTGAATCAGTTATCACTTATGTGCGCATCATGGCAATAGAGAATACTTCTGGTTCTTCTCTACCACAGAGAGATTATGCACTGCTGGTCTCTTAGCCTCATTGAATGGAGACATCCATATTGCGTGGAAACTTGTCATCTTCTGAGCTGTGGAGGAGAGGGGGGACGACTGCCACATGCGAAAGCAGGCAGTATCGTATTACTCGTATAACAAAATTGTCCAATCTCATACAACACAAACCTCCCATGCACAGTATGAAAAAGGGTCACATTAAACTACAATACTCATATGTAGGCGATGAGTCACAGTAACGTGGCTAAAGTATGTTGACCAGACCCCACACTAGAAGGTGAAGGGACGACGGCGTTTCGGTCCGTCCTGGACCATTCTCAAGTCGATTGTCGACTTGAGAATGGTCCAGGACGGACCGAAACGTCGTCGTCCCTTCACCTTCTAGTGTGTGGTCTGGTCATCAATCTACAATACTCACTGACAATAAAATTAAAAAATACAATAAATGGAAATTAATACAAATTAAATGCCATTCATCACATATGGTAACACATAAGGTGAACCATAATGTATTTATGCATGCATTTATGCTTGCTTGTTTTGTATTTCAGGATCGTGTTCTTCCTAAGAAAATTGATGATGCAGAGCTCACAAAATCTGAAGTTGTGACCTTAACATGTGGAGTCTTGTTCTTTGTTGCATTCTTTGTGGCTATGTATGTTGAGGTTAAAGCACGTAATACACTTTATAGGCTGTTTACACGCTTCCTTTATTTAAATCAAACATGGCACATAGCTGAATATGATAGACGAAAAGATTCGCAGTTTGGTCATGCCCCGGTTTAGCCATAAATTTAAGAGTCGTTACATATTTTTGATGTATTTGTTACATGACATTCTAGTGTTTTGTAGATGAGTGAATGAGACCTGGTATTTTGGTTACTTAAATATCATATTAATGCTTTTTTACACATAATCTGTACTTCATTGCATTTCATGCTCTTTGTATTTAGTAACTATTTCATAAGAGAAAGATAATAGTTCAAATTCTTCTCCTTAATGTCCAGAGTGGAAGGAAATAAATGATACCATAATGGGATAATGTTCTCACATAAACTTTTAGGATTAAATAAAACACTTATTAACTGGAAAAAACACGATTATAGTCAGTGATAGTGTGTGTGTGTGTGCGCGTGTTTGTGTGTGAAAGAATCATTTATACCATAGGATAATAATAATTAGTAAGTTCCCCTGATTTATACATATATTTTGTCTCGCTATAAAGTTGACCATTTCACTAAATATTATTGCCCACATTTATTAACTTGTGCAAGCTTTATATTAGGAATCACATAAATAATAATAATAGTATAAGTTTGGACTATTTGTCATGTGAACAAAAAATATCAGACAATCAAATTGCTTATTTACGGTCTTATTGCTCAGTCAGTGGGACTGTTTTTATTAAATGCTATGATATTGAGCAACATTAATTATGGCTTCATAATTTGGACGCTAAACATTTATACATGTATTATAACTTTTTAATACTAGTAGATCAAAATTCATTATTGAAAGAATTTAATTAACAAATTACATTGCTGTTTTTGAGTAGGTTTACAGCAAGTGGCTCTGTAAGCATCTGTAAAACTGCTACTTTATTTTTATGTTGTAAGGAAAGTTTAATAAATATTCTGGTTATTGGGAAAATGGTTGATCATGTGGGTGCAGAATTACAATAGAAAGTACACGAGTTAGTAATTGTGTTCTATCCATGTATTATAACAAATTTTTTGTCCTCAATATGTACATACAGATATGCAAATTGTTTGTTCATATAGCTGTAATATGCAAGTTAATGTGCATTTAAGGTAACTCTAGGAGGGATTAAGCTTTTACTGAACAAAACAAGACTTGTTTCTAGCAAACTACCAGGCTAATAGTACACACAGGGTTACTTCTTTAGCCTGATACACCAGGGTAATTACATTTAAATTCAGTGAGAATTTGAGATTATTTTCATTACTGCACTGTAGCTTAGGGATAAATGACAGACTGCTGAAAGAAAATATGGACGTTTGAAAGAGAAATAAGTGGTGGATTAATCACCTCCGAACCTTTTAGTAAAATCACATGACGATTTGCATATACAAACAAGGCATGAACGAACGTGATATCTCTGTTGTGAAGGGCTAATGTTGCCTTGCAAAGCAATTTACTCATTGTATGAGTAGTCACACTATATTGTATCTGAAAACTGAAGTACATATTCATATAACTTGAACATCTGCTTCAGTATAGCTTTAGTGATTTTTGTTAAGGCTGGAGATCCCTGATCCAGTTGTTGATATGTACAGTTTTATATCTAAAGTTTGCTCATGAAACAGCTGTTATATTAGACTCCTCTACATACATCTTTACTGCTTTGGATAGCTAATTATTAGTGTTATGATTTTCTGTGCTCTTGAGCATATTACCACTTCAGTCTGGGTGCATTAACACTGCTAATATTTACCTAGTCACTGTCATAAGAAAGTGAACTACTTCACTTTGAGGGTAAAGTGTACTTAATGAAGAGCAGACTTTGCTGAGTGCACACTGCATCAGCAGGTACTGGCTATATATGGTATGAATATTTCTGTTTGTAACACTTTTTTCCATATACTGTACATATAAGAAGAAAGCTATTTTCTTTTCCTAAAAGTTTGAAATAAATTTCAAATTTCAGTTAGTAAGGTTACCTATCCTGTATAACTTGGTACTCTGTCCTAATTGTTCAAGATATATGTCTTGATATGTTAAGAAGGATGGTATCTGTTAATTATTACAAGGCCTTTTATGAAAGTTTAGACACGTACAGGACTTGTTTACCTGCCTAGATATTGCAGTTGCCGGTACAGATACTATGATCAGATAGTCTCCTAGTCTGCAACTCGTGAGAACAATGTATTGTAATATTTTCAATGATCTCAGCCTATATTTTAATCCAATGATGATAAAAAATTTGAATATTTAAAACTAAACATTAGGTAAAGTATGTATTATTTTATTCATTCAAATAATTCAGACTTTAGTAAAGTCTGTAGTAAAAATAATTTTTGAAGCTGATCTAAAACAACGTCTCTCTATCCAATCAGACTTATTTGGCTCTTATTCAGAGCTTTGTTGGCTAAACTATTGTCTTGGCCTAGTTGTCCGTCCACTGTTGTCTCTGCATCAGTTTTTCTCCATACTGTATTTAAAACAGTGAGCTAACTGATAACAACAAAATTGAAATAGATATGTATCTCAAAATTAATAATACTCAACCTAGCTATATTTTTTTTTGGGGAGGGAGGGGATGTATTAATTTAATTACAAAATTTTTAGTCAGCTGAGTATTGACTTTCTGGCTGTCATATTTTTACACTTAAAGGCATAACAACTTGCTGTCGTGCATTTTTCTTATACATGAAATTCCATGCATTTATTTTATGCACGAAATTCACCAATAGATCATTGTGTTACAGTCAGTGGTGATGAGTGCTGAGAACCTTACACACTTCACAACCATTAAACCGTACTCTCATTTTCTGTACATGATGAAATTATCCCCTTATAATATACTGTATATATGATCTGTAGCGCATTTGTTGAAATAGTAAAGGAAGGAAATCTGTTTTGTAATAGGAATGCATGACTTATTTTTCATCTGCTGTAATTGCTTAAGACACCGCTACCCTGTGGCTGTTGTAAGAAAAGTGATTTTTTCATTTGTTAATTTTGCCATGATATTTATGTTGTAGGATAGACTGTTCAACTACACACAAGATGCATGTTATTTTTGGTGAACAAACATTATATCATATAGGCAACAATTTTAAACTATGGAGCAATTAATTTGATAAAGTATTGTACATTCATAATCGAAGAGGATATTCATAACCTTAATGTACCAAGTGCAGGTCATTGGATTTCATTATTACATTTATTAAATGGAAAAAATTAAATTGCAAATGCAAATTTATTTTTATCAGAAAATCATTCTTTATATGATATCATAGAGATAGGACCAGTTTGTAACTATTTTATGAAAGACACTGAATCTTCCTGTTGTTAAGGCTATATAATTCCTTTTAATCTTCTGCATAGTGGCTAAATATTCCATGTTCAGTAGTTCTTCTAGAATATGACAATGAGATTCAGGAAAGTATAGATGAGATCAAGATACATTAATAAGAATAAATTGAAGATAACTCCAATTTTTCAAGATACCAGTATTTCTCTTTACATTGAAATACTAATGAAACTACACTGCCAGTCTTCACTCTGGAATCTGAACTTGTTATCTACCTAAAAGAAAGAGGTAAAGTTTTGACAAATATGAATAGAGTTGTACCTGCATGTTTGTATTAGTTCATTTATTGGCATTCATGAGCAAATACTGTACACAGATGTAAATACTCATTTTATTACTACTGTGTCCATGTCTGTTCCTAGCATAGTCTTTTCCAAATGGTAGTTAATACTTCACAGTAGTGCACATCTTTTTTACTAACATATACGATTAATTTGATCTTTTCATAACATGTCATGAGTTACTAAAACTGTTGCCTATAAGAGTCATGCATACATGTTCATACAAACTTCTATTTTTTCAAGTATTAATTCATACAATTTTTGTGTTAATGATTAATTTTTGTATACAGTAATCCACATTTTGTTACAGTTCACTTGTTTTAATTGCTCCTGTAGTCTTGTTTCTTAATTAGCTAAAGTATGATTTTCATTTTAATTTTGTTCTCTTAAAATATATTTATGGTCCTTAATTGCTATGTTAGTGAAGTAATTTAAAATGGAATGCATTCTGTGTCATATTTGCATAAATATCTGTGATTTTACAATAACTTATTTTTGAGGGGCTTTCATTTCTTGTCATCATGGGGTAGCAGGATATAGCAACCACTTGTATAACCACCAGTTTAGTATAAACTCAGGTCACAGTGCTAATCATTTGTGGCACCAGTACTCATGGAACTGGTTACTAATTGCCTTAGTTGCAGACTAGCAAAGTCATTGCTTGGAAAGTTGCCACCTTAGTTGCTGAACACTTCAAAGGATATCAGCACTTTTATAATTAATCCTTCTTAATATGCATCTTGTTCTCGTCTGCTCTCTACATGAACTAGCAGTACATGAACTAGCAGTACACAAACTAGCAGTACACGAACTAGCAGTACATGAACTAGCAGTACATGAACTAGCAGTACATGAACTAGCAGTAGTGTAATTCATAACTGGACTCATATTTTGTCTCATTGCACGAGGAATCATCATTCTGAAGTGTTGAATGTCATTTAGTCATATGGTGGATTAAATGTCTGGAAAATATAGTTTTATTTATGTTTTAGGGTTGGTGAGTGTAATATCTGACATAGTCTATAAACAATTACATAATGCAGAGAAGCATGATGCAGTGGCACTGGTCAAAGCTCAAAACAAAAACCTATCACAGGAAATTTATTTAACCATTATAATTCTGTTTTTGTTCTAAAAAATAAATAAGGATTTGAGTTTGTGAAAAAAAGTTTTCAGTGGCCCTTTGTTCATTCCCAAAGCTACAGACCTGTGCCCACCAAGGGTTCTGAGAATTTTGTCAGGCTCTACATTATTGACCAATGTCTCATGGAGACAAGTAAAATGGAGCCACTGGGGTAACCAACATCATCCCGAACTTCAGAAATAAA